CCAGCACTAATAGCAAAGTTCAACAAGATAGAAAATAAATGCTGGCAAGGATGTAGAGAGATTGGGACTCTCATACATTGCTGGTAGGACTGTAAAATGATACAACAACTGTAGAAATCAGTATAGCAATTCCTTAAAAAGTTAGAAATAGAAATATCATTTCATCCAGCAATCCAATTACTAGATATATATGCTAAAGAAGTGAGAGCCAGGACACGAATAGATACATCCATACCCATGCTCATCACAGCACTGTTCACAATAGCAAAGAGATGGAAACAACCTAATTGCCCATTAATGGAATTATAGATAACCAAACTGTGGTACATACACATAATGGAATACTATGCAACACTGAAGAATAATGTAGAATCTGCAAACCACCACATAATGTGGATGAACTTGGAGGATGTTATGCTGAGTGAAATAAGTCAGTCATAGAAGGACAAATATTGTATTAGTGCACTGTTGTAAAAAGTCAAGGAAATGTTTATACATGGAAGGAAACTTTCTTTTGTTGGTTACCAGGGGTAGGAGGGAGGAGAGGAAAAATTTCTACGTAGGTGGAAGGAAAGGAAGGAAGGAAGGAAGAAATACCAAAGATTGTTAGTGGTTACCAGGGGTAGAAGGGAGGAGGAAAGGGGAAGCTTTTGTTTGGGGGGCATTGAGTTCATGCTAAAGGTGGTGGAATATTTTGGAAAAGGTGGCACAGCATGAAAAATGTCATCAACATCTGTGAGCTGTGAATGTGGATGTTTTATCTTGGTGAATGTCTTATGAATGTTTTCACCACAATAATTTCTTTTTTTAATGTATTTCTTAAACCCTAATAAAGGTAGTGAATTAATAATTTATTTTAGAAGAATCAGCATAAAGCTGGTTCCTGAAACAAAGATTAAAGATGCTCCAAATGTCCAACTTTTCCAAACTGCCATACCACTCCATCATGTCTAACATCAGCTGCTCTTCCTCCCTTCAGTACTCTCCCCACCGTCTTTTGGGTTCCACAAATCACTGCAACATCTCACAGAACTCACGAACAATCAAGGAAATGGCTAACAGTTGTGGGGGCTGGCAAGTCCCTAACCCGTAGCTCAGGTGTCGGTCTAAAGGCTTCTTCCTCATTCACATGGGTGCAGGAGGTGCGGAACAAAATTGGGCAGGTCAGACAACAGGATGCTGGCTCACAAGGCTCTGAAAGCTGGCAAATCAGCTCCGATCGGCTGCTGGCTCAAGTTCCAAGAACTGGAGGTCAGATGAGGAGGAGCCGGATGCGGGATCCAGAGCAAGAGGGAGAAGTTTGCCAGAACGTTTATATATTGGATGCAGATCAGAACTTCAAGGAAACTCCCTTACTTGAGCAAGGCAGTGAAAGGATATGAAGAGTGGTGACTTGAGTTACACCATCTAGTAAGATGACTCAAGATAAATCCCATCCTAATCCTACTTCATTTATGTAACAGGCAACTCACTCCCAAAGGGGACCATAACCACAGGCATAGAGGAACATCACATAGAGGATAATAACATCATTACATAACTGGTAAATCACTGAAAAGTATGGCCCAGTCAAGTTGACAGGTAACCATCAGTTTCCATATACCTTATCTGTGTTACCAGCAAGCTGTCCAATCCCCTTGGTGGACCACAAGCACCTTAGTTGCAGAGTCACACCCAATTATTGTGTGCGAGTCATAAAGATTATAGCTGTTGTTGTTAGGTGCCACCAAGTTAGCTCCCTACATACAACAGAACCAAGCACAGCCTGGTCCTGGGCCAGTCTCACAATCCTTGTTATACCTGAGCCCATCATTGCAGTTCATTGCAGTTACTGTATAAATCCATCTCATTGAGGGCCTTCCCCTCTTTCACCCACCCTCCACTTTACCAAGCAGAATATCCTTCTCCAGGGAATGGTCCCTTCTGACAACATGACCAAAGTAGGTGAGACAAAGTCTGCCAAGTCTCACTTCCAAGGAGCATTCCAGCTGTACTCCTTCCAGGACAGATTTGTTAGTTCTTCTGGCAGTCCGTCGTAAAAGATTATGGCTAAAAGAGCCATATTAAGTACTTTACTGCACTGCAGGTGAAAGTGTAAAATCCCATATTTGATACCCTAAATGAATGAAGAAATAAGTGAAGTTAGTTTTTTTATGTAGCATTACAACTTTTTCCAGATGTAGGTAAGTTTTCTAGCAACACAGCAATTGGGAAAAAAACACAAGAAAATGTCTGGTTTAGTAACCAAAAAATGTAAACATGTTTTTACCAAGGAACATGGCAATGAATACATCAGTGTTTGTCAAACAGACGAATCACCGAGAGTGTTATGCAGGTTAGGTTCATCCTTGCCTCTCACCCTGTGATTTCCATTCACTGGGAACTATGTAGAGGGTGTTAGGAATTTATATCCCAGATTAGAATATGACGGCCTTTAAACTGTTTTAGGAGACACTTTTTTAAGGTATCCAGTTTCAGAAACGGGGAGAACATTTTTTGATTCTGTTTTTTAGTGCTTCTCCTATTTTTGAGATAAAGTTTTTCCAGAGGTGGGACAATTTGTAAAGCTAAGTAGTGATGATGGGAGCTCTGGTAGCATAGTGGCTAAGGCACTTGACTACTAACCAGACGGCTGGCGGTTCAAACCCACTAGCCACTCCTCGGAAGGAAGGTTGGGCAATCCTACTTCCGTAGTGATACTGCCTCGGAAACCCAAGGAGGGGTCGCTATGAGTCAGGTCTGACTCGACGGCACATAACAACAACAACAACAACAAAGTAGTGATAACACAAGCTGCCTGTTCTGGTTCCCTGGTGCCGCTCTGACAGGAATACACCACAAATGGGATGGCCTGAACAAACAAGAGTTTATTCTTACAATTTGGAGGCTTTAAGTCCAAGTTCAAAGTGCCAGGCTCTAGGGGCTGGGTGAAAGCCCCTCAACCTTGGGGTCCAGCTCTGCCTCTTGCTCCCGGCCCACTGGAGCTAGAGGCGTTTCTTTACTCAGACAGCTGCTGGCTGCTGAGGCTGAGAAGCCCCAAGGTTGACAAGTAAAAAGGCACAGTCCTGACGTTACCAAACCACATGGCAGGCCATTAATTCAAGTCTATTGTAAGTCCCAAGGTCAGCAGGGCATAGCAGGCTGCTGAGCAACAACACGGCTACATGCAGGGTCCAAGCGTGCCATAACTTAGAGACCATTCCCAAGGCTTCTCCTTATACACAGGAAGCAGACCACATCCCAAAGGCAGCTACTCAGCTGCTTGTGGTAGATCCCACCATTGATTGAGTTGATTGCCAGTCATATCATGGGGAATAACTACCACCAGCTGCCCAGCCACTCAACCAGGCCCAGTCAAGTTTACATACAAACATAACTACCACACTGCCAGAGAAAGTCTCTGGAGGACACTTTATAATTGGCAGGTAGAGATTATTGAAATCTCTGAGAAATTGTAAACCTTCTGCTTTCTTATCTGGAAAATTGTAATATTGAAGTAAAACTATGAGTAATGTATAGGTAGCAATATCTAAATAAAATGTTTTAACTGGTAACAGCCACCTTGTTTTGTTACTAGAGTTGTTATCATCTTGAATGTAAGCAGTATATGTTGAATCATTATACCTGAGGGAATGTGAAACTGAGACAATTAGGTGTGTAGCTTGAAAATTACTTCACTAGAAAATCCAGGTTCACAGAAAGTTTACTGTTGGTGCTGGAGTATAGTTTCTAAGTTTCTACTTTACATGAAATTTCAAGATAAAGAAAAATGAAGTTACGTAATGTTCCCTTTATCCAATAGATTCAAAATAACCATTACTGTTTTTTTTTTTTTTCTTCAATAGACTGCATAGAATTTAGTTTCACTTTGTAAAATGTTGAGACAAATATTGTCACTAGGTCTCAACCAAACTACACAATATGTCCTGTTCCCATTTCGGATTTGAGGACCCATTTAGACTAGAGAAAATAGGCAGTGAGTAAACAACTAGGAGGGAGCTCTGGTAGCATAGTGCCTAAAACACTTAAGTGCTAACCAGAAGGCTGGCGTTTCAAACCCACCAGCCACTGCTTGGAAAGAAGGTTGGGTAATCTACTTCTGTAGTGATACCGACTCAGAAACCCAGGGAGGAGTCGCTGAGTGGAGTCTGACTCCACGGCACCTAACATACAACTAGGAACTGGGATAAGAAAACGCGACAACAGCTTTTTCCACTGATAAAATGGGTGGCTCTGAAAAGAGCCTTTGGAGCAACGAGACCAGAGACTGGGCACCGCATCCCAGATGAGAGACTCATTTGGAGCTGGTGTACTTGGTGACGGCCTTGGTGCCCTCGGACACCGCGTGCTTGGCCAGCTCCCCCGGCAGCAGCAGGCGCACAGCCGTCTGGATCTCCCGCGAAGTGATGGTCGAGCGCTTGTTGTAATGCGCCAAGCGGGACGCTTCGCCAGCGATTCGCTCGAAGATGTCATTCACGAAGGAGTTCATGATGCCCATGGCTTTGGACGAGATGCCAGTGTCGGGGTGGACCTGCTTCAGCACCTTGTACACGTAGATAGAATAGCTCTCCTTGCGGCTTCGCTTGCGCTTCTTGCCATCCTTTTTCTGGGCCTTAGTGACAGCTTTCTTGGAACCCTTTTTGGGAGCAGGAGCCGACTTGGCCGGTTCCGGCATGCTGAAAAGCATAAAGCTCAGGAGAACGCAAACTCAAGTCAGCCTGAGCCTACCGGAAAGGGCTAGGTACTTATAGAAGCCCTACGCAAATGAGAGCTCCAACTTTGCTGAGCTGTGATTCGCGCGTTTTCGGTGGCGCCGCTGCCAGGCGGGCGAAATTATGTAAATGAGTGGATTCTGACCAGGCTATCCTATTGGTGGTCAGGACAAGGGTTCGCTTTAACCAATCAAAACGGTCTGTAGACAATCCGTCGTTCTGCCTATAAAAAGGTGAACCAGCGGCGTTTGCGGTGACTTTGTCACTTAGCAGGAGTCTCTTGCTGTGACTTCCGCTATAATGTCTGGACGTGGCAAACAAGGAGGGAAGGCTCGGGCTAAGGCCAAGTCGCGCTCCTCCCGCGCTGGTCTGCAGTTTCCGGTGGGCCGAGTTCACCGCCTGCTCCGTAAAGGTAACTATGCCGAGCGGGTAGGGGCTGGCGCGCCAGTCTACATGGCGGCTGTGCTCGAGTATCTGACGGCGGAAATCCTGGAGCTGGCAGGCAATGCTGCCCGTGACAACAAGAAGACCCGCATCATTCCTCGTCATCTTCAGTTGGCGATCCGCAACGATGAGGAGTTGAACAAACTGTTGGGTAAAGTCACGATCGCTCAGGGCGGCGTTTTGCCCAATATCCAGGCGGTGTTGCTCCCGAAGAAGACAGAGAGCCACCATAAAGCAAAGGGCAAGTGAAGCCGCTGTCTGGAAACTAGCCCAGCTTTTATTTTAAAGGGTCAGCTGTATTGTAATAAAAGGCTCTTTTCAGAGCCACCCATTCTGTCAAATAAAAGAGTTGTTAACAGTATCCAATCTCATTCTGACTTAACGGACAGTAAAAACCACACTAGTCCAGAGAGAGACGAGGGTGGGTAGGGAGCTCCATTTGCTTTTCATATATAAGTGCTCTAAGTTTTGAGTCTTAAATAGTGAGTTGCACTTAAACTAGAGTTAATAATAGGTGGCGACACCGAACGTAAACATCTTGGGCGCCACCCATGGTCGTCTCCAACAAACGTAACTACTGGGCAGCACCCCCACGCGTCAGTTGGCTCGCTCGGTGCTTAACTATTCGGTTGTTCTTAAGGCCTTTGCCCACCAAGTAACATTAGTACGACGGGGACGTTATCAGTAGTCGGTAGGGAAGCAGAGGGTTTCTGGGAGTGGGGCAGACCTGAGTCTCGGCTTAGCTGAATCCTTGTTTTGAGAAGGGGAAGAAAAAGTTGCGATTCGCCACTTGGGTTTTCTGAGGCGGGATCTTGGGCCCTGGGAGCAGACAACTGTGAGACCCAAACAGTACCCACCAGGAGGAAAGACCAACCAGAGCAAATTGGAATATGGGGAAAACCTGAGAAAACTCACAAGGTGGTTTTGCGGGGACGGAGAGGAAGGGACAAGTTCAATTCCGAAGCTACATACACAGCGCAGAACGGAGGGGTTGTGTGTCCTAAAGGAGTAGAAGGTTTAACGCTATTGAAACCAAAAATGACTCAAACAGAATGAGCGAAAAAAAAAACAACAAAAACTTGGCAAACCGGAAAGTGGAAAGGGAGCGGAGGGGGGAGGGAGGGATTCCGCTGGAGCAGGACGGGTGACGTCACGGCCAATGGGCAGTCAGCGCGGGACTTTCAATTATCCCTCCACCCAATCGCCGAGAGACTGCACCTATAAAGATTGCTGCCACGGCCAGCCCCTCCGTTCATTCTCCCTGCTGCTGTGCTGGTTGGGTAGTAGTGTGGTTGGCCATGGCCCGTACCAAGCAGACTGCCCGTAAATCGACAGGAGGCAAGGCTCCGCGGAAGCAGCTGGCCACCAAAGCTGCCCGTAAAAGCGCGCCGGCCACTGGCGGTGTAAAGAAGCCCCACCGCTACCGGCCGGGCACTGTGGCCTTGCGGGAGATCCGTCGCTACCAGAAGTCCACGGAGCTGCTGATCCGCAAGCTGCCCTTCCAGCGGCTGGTGCGCGAAATCGCGCAGGACTTTAAGACGGACCTGCGCTTCCAGAGCTCGGCAGTGATGGCGCTGCAGGAGGCGAGCGAGGCCTACCTGGTGGGGCTGTTTGAAGACACTAACTTGTGCGCCATCCACGCCAAGCGCGTGACCATCATGCCCAAGGACATCCAGCTAGCCCGCCGCATCCGCGGAGAGCGGGCTTAAATTAAACTGTACTTGGCTTGACGTTCCATCGTATCCAAAGGCTCTTTTCAGAGCCACCCACACCACAAAAAGGAAGCTGTGTCACTTACTGTTGGTGCCCAATGAGTGAATGCTCCTACAATGGTGTGAAAGTGTCAGCGGCTGAAAGGCTTGGTTCCTTGGGATGAGAGATAGTGCTGCATGGTAGATTTGCCTCTTCCTTGCAGGCGGCTCTCTCCAGTGTTAACTTGGAGCTTTACCACTTTTGAGTAGATTCGATGTCTCTTGGCTTGAGGGCGGCCAGGGACATGCTCTTGCTTTGCTTTGGGCTGGCCACCCACCCTTTGCCACCGAAGTGTCCTGCAGTTTTCGTGAGTAAGCTCTTAGGTGCCCTTTCGTATGACGGCGACCCAGGATGCGAATTTGGCTAGGTAGGAGAGTAGAGAACAAACTGACACCGGAAGGAGCCATTGCGGTCGGGAGCGCGCCTCGGACCGCCCTTTTCGAGGGCCGAGAGCGCGTGCTGCTGGGTGCGCGCCCACTTCTTCCCCTTGCCCCGCCCCCACCGAAAATGGCATCACCAGCCTCGCCTCTCGCGCGGGAGAGGGAAACGGCTGCCTCCGACTAGCGCAATACCTTCGGTTCCTGCGTTTCGGTTGCTGCTCGGTGTCTATGACACCCTGGTCGCCCTCTGCAGAAACCCCGCCAGGCAGGGCGTGTAGCACAACAACTGGGCGGAGTTGATCTGGGCCTTAACTAAAAAAGCAGAGTCTCAAAGCGAGACTCCGGGAAGGCGTCCCTAAAAGCTGCCACCCGTTTTGGCTTGATCATTCATATTAGAAGGATTAGCCAGCCAGAGGCACACCTATGGCCCGCAGTTTGCGTTTTTAGTTAGAGGGTAGAACAGGCAGAGCATGGGCTTCCCCTGGCGGGATGAAGCTTCCCACCCCAGGAAATAGTGACGGTGGAGGCTTTAGTGATAATTTCTCAATAGCTGGAGGGTGGAAGTCCAGGCCATCTGGTGGGTAGGGGAGTGGGGCGGTGTCTGGCAGAGCTCACACTACACAGCACTTAGATACAAGCCGTAGTTCAGGTCTCAGGTGACGCCTTTTAAACTTTAGGTCATTTATTTGCCCCTGGAAGAGTCCAAGGCTTATGTTCTGTTACAGCACAGTTGGCAGTGTGAAGTATTAATTATGGAGATAAGTGAGAATTCACAGAAACGGAAGGAAACCTAGTTTTGAAAAGCTGTTTTGCCCTTCCTGTGTCAGAAAAGGGAGAGACTTTAGAGACTCTGCCCTCCTCTGCCATGGGTCACAGTGATTTCCAGAGCATGCCTCCAGGTCTCAGCCCAGGCCCAGGCCCACGCCCTCATTCCCTCATCAGACCCTGCAATGCAGCCATGTGCTTGGCTCTGTAGTGAGTTACGAAGTAGTGACTTGTCGGGGACAGCATTGCACTCAGTATCTCATCTAGCCTCATGGCAAACCTTTTAGGGACATAGTGCAGGGACATCCTTTCTTAGGGGCAGCCTGAGGCTCTCGGAAGGTAAGGTTCTCACCCAGCGTCTCTGGCCCAGGAATGGCTATGCAAGCACCGGAGCTTTAGAATATTGGTGTCAGTCGTCTGTGTCTACCTCTGCTCTTTTTAATTATGCCTTATAACAGTTGTGGACAGGTGTGTGTGTGTAGAGAGAACTACATGGTAGAGTATGACCCTATTGATACCATTTTTGCTTCTGTGGAAGAAGACTTGGCCTTTGAGATGACACTCTTCTGGTCATTCTTATCCCTCCCTAGTTCCTCATCCCAGCTACATCAATATTCCTGGTTGCTCCCATGCTGGCCTTGGTCTCCCTGCCAGTCAAGTGTGATCATTGGCTTCCTGCTTTCTGTATCTCTGCTGCTCTAAGTGTTCCCAGATTGATATTTTCTGCTGAGACCTGTGTCCTGAGCTCTACACCAATATTTCTAATTGCCTGATAGATGGGTTCTTCTAAATGGATGATAGACACTTCTAACTCAGCTTATACCCAAAACTACATGTGTCATCTTGTTCCCCAAACTATTTTTCCATACTATATAGTCCTCATCTTATTGAAAAATATCTCCATCTACCCATCTGGTCAGTTTAGAAGTTCCTTTTGTCCTTTATCTAAACTCATGAGTCACCAGATTTTATCAAATCTACCTTCTGTTTTTCAATTCTATTACGTTTTCTCCATCTATCCATGGCTCTGGTCTTAATTGATGTCCTCACCAGCTCTGGCCAGTCTTCCTGCCCTGCCATTAAGCTGTTATTTATACATATGTATGTGTGTGTGTGTTTCAAGCGATCACTCCCATGCTTAAAAATTTCCCACCCCTTTCCCATTCCTTTCAGAATCAAGTTCACACTCCTTTACATGGCAGTTTAGAGCAGTGGAAGTTAATAACTAGGAAAGAATCCAGAGTTAGACAAACCCAAATTCGAGTCTTGGCCTTGCTTATATACCAGGCATATGACTTCAGCAAGCTGACTGCTGCAGGCCCCACTTTTCCCATTTGTAAAATGAAGACAACAGTATCTTGCTCATAATGTTGGAAATGTTGTTCTGTGTCGTCAAGTCAGACCTGACTCATAGCAACCCCTCCTTGGGTTTCCGAGGCAGTATCACTACGGAAGTAGATTTCCCATCCTTCCTTATGAGGAGTGGCTGGTGGGTTTTAATTGCCAGCCTTCTGGTGAGCAGTCAAGTGCCTTAGGCACTATGCTACCAGAGAAGTGAGAATTCTTATATGAAGTCGTCCCTAGCACAGTAACTGCTCTAAAGTAAGCATTCAATTAATTTTAGCTATACTTATTAATAGGTAATTGAAAATACAAAAGAAAGAGTGAAAACAAATCCCAATAAGATGTATTTTAATATATATCTAGTTCCTGGTGTTCCCCGGTGCCTCCTTGGACTTCAGATGCTTCACCACCCGACCAAGTATGTTCTATACCCCTCTAACATCTGCCAATATAGTATCTTGGTACATTCCATTTTTTCTGTCCAAAATATCCTCCCTTTCTTTGTAGCCCTGAGAACCCCTGCTCATTCTTCAAGATTCAGTCCTATGGAGCTTCCCTTTCTCTTCCTTCATGCCTTTGGGCCCTCTTGCTTGCCTTTCCCCATTCCTCTAACACATCTTCCCATGCCCTGCCCTCAGCATTAGGCTGGCAGCATTCTGCAGGTTGAGGATTTGTCTTTGTTCATCTCTGTGGTGTTAGCAACCAAGCAGTGACTTGGTAGTAAAAAAAAAAAAAAAGCTTGATAAGCGACCTGATCCACCTGACCTTTGACTCACTCTTTGCCTCAAATGAAGGAGCTGGTCACAAGATATTCTCAGTTCTGAGGGCAGAATGCCTTTGCATAGCCAATATGGTGTCCTCTGCTTTCATCTAAAGTCCCTGTGACATCTGTAATGATATCCCTCATTCCAGGTCCTCTTCTGAAGGTGGCTTGAATTTCTGGCAGTTCCCTGTTGAAGTAATGCAGCAACCATTTTTAAATTATCTTCAGCATAATTTTACTTGCAT